CAGAAAGTTTGCCACTTATCATAAAGTCATGTCAGGAACTGAACTGAACTGTGCAGATCTAGATAACAGCTCCTCACATTCCACATGAGGCAGCAGGCTCACAGGTCACACCCAGCTGGATGGCTGCAGTAGAACTTCTACTTCTCCATTTCTAAAGCCAGTACACTTTCCACTGTGCTCAAAATGAAAACAAGAGATGAGCCAAAGCCTAAAACACATAAGTTACACACATGCCACCATTAGACAAAAAGGAAACCTATAACGGAATTTGGAATCATTCTTAGCAAACTGGCTACATTTTTTTTTAAGTTCTGTCTTTTAATGGAATAAATATCAGTTGTTGTCTTTCTGATATTCCCCAGAACCCATCAGTAGTGATGTTTAAATATAAGGATGAATGAGTGAATGGATGGAATGAATGCATCCAGAAAGTCAGTTTCACAAGGAGCCCCTCATTACATCACTGGATGACACTCATACCCAACCAGAGAGTAAGAGGTGTTTACAACTGTTGCTCAGCCTGAGACTCCTGGAAAGATCCTGCCATGATCCACAGACCATCACACAAGCTGTTATATGTGCATCTGTTGCATGGTGCCCCAGGTTTTATGTGGGGTATGATAGAAACTGACTGCAAGGCAACTAGAAATGGCAGCCAATCCTTTTTGCAAAATTGTTTACACTTGAAGATGCTAGAGGCCTGTGAACACAAAAAGGCAAAACCCAGGTGTGAACATGTAACTTTTGTTTGTTGTTAACATGTTTCTATTCACAAAGGAAAACCTGCCATGAGGGGAGGTGGGAAGGGAAGGTGGCTCTGTGGTAAAGCCCTTCCTAGCATGCACGAAGCCTTGGGTTTAATCCCCTGTACTCCAAAAGAAAAAACAGAAAATCTGACTAGTCACTGTGGAAATAAGGCCAGTTGGTACCTTGCAACAGTAACTAATTGTTTGTATTCTTATAACTCTTTCCTGATTTAAAACTCTTGCATCCTTAAACCATCTTTGAAAGGAGAGTAATTGCTATTTTAAACAACCAGGTCCCAAGACGTTTAGTGAGTTTACTGCATGCTGAGAACTCTTACCTCCCGGGTCAGATGTTCTCTTGACAATTATATGATGATTGAGAGAGAAGTAATATATCTGCAAGCTTTGTGTGTTTCATTTTAAATGGTGAGAAGCTACTATTTAGCTATTTTCAAGGAAGAGGAGAAAGGACAAAGGAGGGAAATGGAACTTCCATTTTCTACATTATAGCTTGTATAGACTACACCCATGATAACCCTTGTCTTTCTAAGAAAAAGCATCCCAACTCTCTTGGACTTCTCACCTTTCTTATGTCCAGGCCCTTTTCTTCTATTTGTCATTCCTTTCTCTACTTGACTCTTAGAACTGGCCTTTAGTCTTCAAAATGGTGTCTACAACGAATTTATAATCTGCTCAAATTAAATTCAAATATATTGTCTGGGCTTGACCTCAATGACATCCTTGCTGCTGTTCTTAGCCATTAAAGGTTTTGCTTCCTTCCTCTACACATTCCCTATTGGTCAAAACCCATTCCTGAAAATTACTATGACATTTATTTACATTTGTAATTATAAAGAGACACCAGAGAAGTGGGATTCCTATTGATTCATTTCCAAATCTAGTATAGGATTGGTTAATATATCATGTCATTCATTTTTGATTAAGTTTATTCACTTTAATTACAGTACTTCAAGACCAGAACAGTACCCCTGCCCTAGAAGAATCACAGGATGCTGATGGTTTGAGCTCTTTGAACTCTTCATTGTATGTTTCCAGCATCTAACATCCTTTGCCCATAGGTGGTAGTGGTATTCTGTGGAGCGGGTTGGGGGGGCAGTTCTAGAGATTGAACCAGATCCCCAACACCCTCACTCAAAGATTTTATTGTTTTTAAATAAGTGTTTTTTAGAAGATGCATTTAATTTAACTGTGGTTTATATAAGAGAATGTGAAAGTACTCTCAAATAGATCTCATAAAACAGACTTGAGTGTGTAGGGGGGTAAGTAGGGAGAATGAGGGGGGATAAAGCAAATGGAGCAAAATGAGCAGTTGATGAGTCTGATAAAGAACATACAGGAGTTGCTTTTCCTACTGCAATTTTTCTGATCGTTGGAATTACATCAAAATAAAAATTTATAAAAAATAAATTCAGGGCCAAGAGAAGTTCTGCAAAAGAAAAATAGAAGGCATGACGAAAATTGTTTTGCTGTATAGCGTAACTCCATTGCTTTGAATACTTTGAATACTTCCATTGCAACCCAGCTGAGGTTGCAAACCTGATTTCTGCCCCAAGTTCATGTGATCGTCCTTAAAGACAACATCAGAAAGTGAAAATGGTTATTTTTCTATTGATCTGTTTTTCCCATGGTTTTGTGTGCTTGTATTTGGGTAGACCAAATATGATTATTTAGATATCATCAGAAGATATCAGATCTCATTCATAACGAGAGCAGAAGTAATGGCCAGGTCCCCTTTTTCTTTTGTGCTATCAAAGAAAATACTACATAATAATGTGCATGCTCAGGTTAGGGATGTGTGTGAAGTTTGTGGGATCACATTTTTACTTACCTTTTTTATTGTAACTTATTACAAGCACAAGTGTCATGCTTGGAGCAGCCAGCTGCTCACCCAGCACAGTATATGAGTCAGTGATTTACCAAAGAATAAACTGGGTCTGCTGGCAAGTATACATAATTTCAAAAAGTAAGGAAACTCTAAATTCAAGCTTTTGTGTTACCAGGTAAAGAAGTTAGTGGTAATGTGGCATCTTTTAACCATAACCTGCTCCAAGTAGAGGTCATGCTACTTGTTTTTATTGTTTGTCATTTGGTCAGCACTGAGAACTTATTAATAAGTGTGATGTTTTCATTTTAAGTAATTATCCTCTCATGCAGAGATTTTCTCCAATAAGTAAACTGAACCAACAGTTCAGAAATACAGTTCACTGTATTTCTGCAGGAATGGGGTTTGAATTTTTCATGCTGGCAAACAGTTGAACTACTGCTTGAGCAACAATTCCAGTCCATTTCTGTCTGATTATTTTGGAGATGGGGGACTCATGAAGTATTTCCTCGGGCTGATCTCAGCCTCCCAGGTAGCTAGGATTACACCCGTGAACCACTGCGCCCAGCTCTGCAACTCCTTTTTGACTGTATATGTTCCTCTGGCTTCTGTGGGTGGATGGAGTGTCTGACCTGCCACAGTGTTACTTTGTGTGTCTGCAGTGCAAGTGACATGGCTAGTGCACAAAAAGGAAATTGGCTTGATCAGCTTTCACCCCTAGGAGGCAGTGTGGGGTCATAGGCTTTCTCTCTCTTGCTCTCTCTTTCTGTTTTTGGTTTTGTTTTTGTTTTTTTTTGGTTTGGTGGTGGCACTTGCAAGGCACTTTACTGCCTTGAGGCATACCTCCAGCCCTACAGGGGTTTCTGATCACAGGGGCCACTGCTTGATAACTTACTGACTTTAGACGATTTGCCCTGATGCCAATGGTTCTGAGGTTCTGTTTTGTATCTTTAAGTGAGGTACAGACTGTATCTGGTTGCTTGATGTGGCAATTAAATACTGTGTGACACTAACAGTTTCAGGCTAGGCACAAAGGAGTAAGTTGGGTACAAATAAAACCGAGTAGCATGCTCTTAATGAAATGATTTTGACCCTTATGTTCCTGAAGTTGTGCCCTCCACCTCATCAGCAAATGACAGTCCTCAGAGTTTAAAGTTTTCCTTGAAAAACTTTAAAATGAGTGCGTACAGGTTTAAGATGTGGCCAGTGCATCCAGGTGACTGGGAGGAGAGAATGGTGGCATCTAACCGTGATTTGCCTTGAGTAGGATAGGAGTTTACTCCACATTTTTACAAAAAGCAGATCAAGGAATATAGCTATAAAAGTAATTCAGATCTTTGACAATCTGTATTTTACTGCTAGCCTGGAGAGAAATCCATGGTTTGTCATAATTTGTGGTGTTTTCTCTTGTTTTATAATATAGTGACATTTAATTTTTAGTTACTATTTAATATTTATGTTCTTTGTAAATCTGCAGAGCACATAACATACTGTTCCCCCCACCCCAGCCAGCCTTGGCAAGGGACAAATATTCATATTTCTCACTCCTTGTTTAAATTGCATTGGAGGCACCAGTTCTGACAGGGGCTTTTTTGAGTTACTAATTAAAGTCCTTCCTTTGACTTGTGGGAGTTGTTTTTTTCAAAACAAAAGGGAAAGAGGCTTAGATCCAAGACATTTTCTGACTTTCATTAACATGTCCCTTTTTATTGAGGAGCTACAGGAATGCGCCTATGTTTAGAAAGCCTTTCCTGAGTCAAGACGAATGAATTGCACCTGTGTGAAATGATGACCTGTTTGAAAGGTCATAACCTCCCAATGGTTGTGTAAGAAATGAGGTCTTTACTTTCTGCTCGCAGTGGATGAAAATTACATTTTTTAGTTGAACTAATACCTACTGTGTGGCAATGCTCTATCCTGCTAGAAAGACTGTAGCCATGAGGTGCTTGGCCTTACACTGTGGACTATGTGAATTTTAATTTAATTTATAAAAGAAAAACCAAATTTTGATAATCACAGATTTTAATAGATAACATTTAATAACACACTTTATAGTCACAATGAGATAATTGCTGAAAAAATTTCCGTCTATCTGGGGCCAAAATCGTTTAGGTTTTCTACATTTAAGCGAGTGATAACATCGATTAAGGCAGCACTTTTGGAAGTCTGACTCTGGCTTTTAGCTTGTGTGACCTTGGGAAAGTCACTTAACTTCCCTAGCCTTGTTTTCTCTAAAATGATGATGCTGGACTCATTACTGTTTTGTTTCTTTACATTTTTTGGGGAAAAGGCAAGTATAAAATTCTTCCTCCTCCTCCTCCTCCTCCTCCTCCTCCTCCTCCTTCCTCCTCCTCCTCCTCCTCCTCCTCCTCCTCCTCCCTTTCTTTTTTTAATAAATGCCTTGGGGGAGAGATGATTTTTGAGAATCAGAAGACTCTTAAAAAAACGATATGTGGTGGTAACAAAATTTCTGGTTTTTAGGGCAAGGAATGTTGTCTTGATACCTTCATACCTTCTGAGGCAGCCTTTCATTCAGAAGAGGATTTAACATCTCACTTTGCCCAGTAGTCAGCTGGTGGCCTTCCACACACAGTAGGTACTACATAACTTTTCAAGAAATGCTGACTTTTAACACAATTAAACATGAATAGTCATCAAGCTGGATTCAATGACTTTTTGTGGAAAAAAACTCATGGATGAGCATCTGGCTGACTTCAGCCCTTAGTGAAGGCCTGAGGATTTAATGTGCTATACAGGAATTTAACTGTGCTATTTCTATTTAGTGTGTAAACCAAGCTTAGTGTCATGATCAGAAGCCTGAAACCTAAGCAGTTTGGCCCTGGGCACCCACTCTCAGCAGGCAGCACTGTCTCAGTTGGAGGAATTGCTTAGGAAGAAGGGGAGCTGATGGGTTTCTGTAGCCATTTTTCATGGCACATAGTAATGGGGAAGGCAGGTGGTAACTTAGTTGCTAACACTTCTTTCTACAACTCTTGGGACTTCAGAGGGATTTCATTTGTAGGCGAGTTAAAGAGTCAACAAAGCAATTTGGAGTACTTTTCCAATGAATCCTGTGAAAAGGCACCTTGTAAAAGCAACTGGAGACAAACTAGCTTTGTAGCATTTTTTGTTTGTTTGTTGTGAAATACTAAGCTGGTTTTAAGGGGGCCACTTCTGAATTCAGTAGTCTTGAGATTTTCATTTTCTGTGGCCCTAGGGATGAGAGGGTGGTAACTCCAGTCACCCTGGGGCCAGCTGTGTATAAACAAGCATTCAACAAAATGCTCTTGGAGGGTAAGAATAATGCCTTCAGGTTTTTAATTTGCCTTTTTTCTTATTTTGTCCACAGCAACCATTATTGCATGTCCTGTGACTAAAAAATTGGGATTTTAACTTGATTATTATGCCTTTGGAGATGGACCCCAAAATGAGCAAACTGGCCTTTGGGTGTCAGAGAAGTTCCACCTCGGATGATGATTCGGGCTGTGCGCTGGAGGAATACGCCTGGGTCCCCCCCGGCCTTAGACCAGAGCAGGTGGGAACTCAGTCATTCGGGTTTGTATGTTTTCCAGTGTGACATGAGACTAAAGAACACTGTTTTAGAAATGTATAGACCATCTCTGCGACACTGTGCCTCTCCCTCCTCCATGGATGGCTTTGTTTGCTTTTTCAGGTGCTATTTAGTTTCTCAATGATATTTTTTGTCTCTGTTCCCATGGATTCCCTAGTCATCCCACAGCACTGCTATGGGACGTCAGGATGAATGAAATCCACACTATCGCACATCCGTGTGTTATATGTGCATTTCTGATAAGTCGTTCTTCAGAGAGAAGAATTAACCTGTGATTAAAACTTGAGTGATAACAAAAAGGTAAAGAAAGGGCAGCTTCCAGGCCAGTTCTCAGAAATGCTTTTGCTTTGAAAGAGAAATGCAGAGCTCTAAGAATCAATGCCCTGTATAGCTATCCTTATCTCAACCAGCAAAAACCCTTGTTCCTGCCTATTATTGCCTATACTCTCTCTACAACAAAATTAGAAATAAGGGCAAAATAGTTTCTGTTGGGTATTGAGGGGGGGAGAGGGAAGGGGGCGGAGTGGGTGGTAAGGGAGGGGGTGGGGGCAGGGGGGAGAAATGAACCAAGCCTTGTATGCACATATGAATAATAAAAGAAAAAGGAAAAAAAAAAAAAAAGAATCTACCTGGTGAGTGGTGTTGCCTAGAAATCTGACCTTTGATAACTTTGTATTGAAGAGTCTGTCACCACACAGTGGGGAATGGAAAAATAATTAAAGAGTTAATCTTTTGCCTTGTTTATTTTAAGGAACATGGGAGCACTCTATATGCCTATTTTTTATTTTTCCATTTAATGATGAACTTGTCGAAAACCATTAGTGATAGATATAATTATAAGGGCAAAAGCATCATTTGAAATAAAAGATGACAACTGAGCCAGGTACAGTGGCTCACAGCAGTAATCACAGCTACTCAGGAGGCAAAGAGATAGAGGATCACAGTTCAAAGCCAGTCTGGGGACAAAAGTTAACAAGACCCTATCTTAACAAGTAAGCTGAGCATGATGGTACAGACTGTCATCCCAGCTACTTGGGAGGCCTTAGGTAGAAGTATGATAGTCTAGACTCACTCACCCCAGGAAGAAACTCAAGACCCTGTCTCAAAAATAACCAAAGCAAAAAAGGACTAGTGTAGTGGCTCAAGTGATAGAGCACCTGCCTAGCAAGTTGTGAGGCCCTGAGTTCAAACTCCAGTACCACCAAAACAAAAAGACCAATTTGGTGGGTGGTTGCATCTGAGTTATGGCTGCATTTTCTGTAAAGTGGGAACTCCTTTAAGAATGGTTACTCTTCCAGGGCCTAGGGTAGAACCTGGCACAAGGTAAGTGTAAGTGTAAAAAGCTTCTACACCTGATACAATGGGACAGGGTAGGTGATAGTGCAGCAGTAGGGAAGCAACAGTTGGACAACCTGCTTATTAGAAAAAAGGTGTGTGTGGCACTGACATTGAACAGACAGGACCCAAATTCCCTTACCTGTCTACTCCTCAAATCCCTTTCATTCCTTCTAGCATTGTAGTATCCTTTCCAGTATCCACTGTTCCTTATTTAAAAACATCAGAAAAATAAAATTTCAGTTTTCCTTTCAAAACACACTAACTCCAGTTCAGCATGGCTCCTGTCCAGTTTCCTTGGGAAAACTGATTCGAGATATTGAGAAAACTAGCACCATGGAAGCCGACGACGCTGATGCCTGTGAGAACCCTTCAGGGAGCACTTATATGTAACAAAACAGCTTTTGTCTGGTAACATGTAAAATTCAGAGGGCAAAGTAAACATTTGTGTGTAGTGACTAGATTTTGGACAGAATCACACAGCCTGTGTGGTCATTTGTAGAATTCACCCAGGACGCTCAGCTGATCCCTTAGCTGACCCCTAGAAGACTGGCTGAGCAGTAGTAACATTAAATGTGCATATTTTATGGTGCATAATTTATGATGCCCCTAATTGTCACCACAAATTGCATTCCTGAAGAGCAATTTAGCAGCTGAGTGCTAGTTATCTGCAGTTCGAAGTTCTGCTGAGTTGGCTCAGCTGGACTTCTCATTAGAAGAGAAAACCTTGTACCCAGGGAAAGGTGAATTTAAAGACGTCAGTTTCATGGACTGATGTCATTCTCTGTCTCTTATGCAGATCCAGCTCTATTTTGCATGCTTGCCAGAGGAAAAGGTTCCGTACGTGAACAGCCCTGGAGAGAAGCATCGGGTTAAACAGCTTTTATACCAGTTGCCACCACATGACAATGAGGTAAAGTAACAGGAAGCAGGTAATTAGAAAAGAAACGGGTACACATGGTGATGCTGCTCATAAACCCAGCTCATCACAGCTAGGTCTCTCTTTGGCCTTTCTTCAGTTAAAATTTGGCTGAGAACACAGCTTTCCTTTCTTTAAGGGAACAGAGAAATCGGAGTTAAGGCAATAAACTTAACACAAGTTGGTTTTTATAGTGTTTGCAGCCACCCACCAATTGTCAGGAGCTGACAAATTCCTGACATTTCCCTGTCACTGTGTCCAGGTTGAATGCTTTGTGGTAGCTCAGGCCTGAAGTTGAGTTTAGGGCTGGAGAATGTGGAGTGAAAGTGGCAATTAACAGTTGAAACCTTTTGTGAAAAGGTGAATGCTTTACTTTTATCAGTGTCTTTTGCTGATAAGAGTTGAAATGAAACATTTCCCATTTTAAAAACCAGTAAAACAAAGCTATTCCTCCAGCTTGCATGTTCGTTATCCTAGAGCGACAGAGGCTACAAGATTTAGCTATGGTGTCATTTTAAAACTGGGGATTCAAGGCAGGACAGCTACACTTACTGTTTTATTTCCTGAAACTCATTCTGACATAAATGGGTGAGAAGCTCCAGCATGGGCCTTTTGTTTTCCTTTCTGTGAAGGTGCGGTATTGCCAGTCTTTGAGTGAAGAGGAGAAGAAAGAATTGCAGGTGTTCAGTGCTCAGAGGAAGAAAGAAGCTCTCGGGAGAGGATCCATTAAACTCTTGTCCAGAGCAGTAATGCATGCCGTGTGTGAGCAGGTAGCCCACTTTGAGATGAGTGGCTGGTGGGAGTGATGTGGATGGAATGATGGGGGCGGGGGGAGCAGGTGATGGCTAGCACTGTTGTGTACCCTTAAAAGCCTCCAAAAAGTAAGAGACAAAATCCAGGGTTTTTTTTATGGCATAGTGATGCATATTCATCACTGGCTGCACTGCTGTGTATAACAGTAGGACTGTCAGTCGGCCTATATTAAACACAGGTGAAACTGTTCCTTGCATGGGATGCCGGCATGGATAGAGGCACTAGGATACACTTAGGAGTATTTGAAAATGGGGAAGCATAACAAAGACATTCAGAACTTTACTGGTGGTTCTCAGACTAGCAAATGTATCCAGCAGGAGACTGGCCCAGGAAAATCACGTTTAACATGGATCAGATTATATGGTACTTAGAAACAGCCTATGGGGATGTGTATGCGAGGCAAGTTCACTATAGCTGAGGATCACAAGTAATCCAGTATTAAGGAGCCATTAAATAACAGGAAGAGGAGACACAAATAAAGCATCCCTGATGAACTTGGAATATATTGTAAAGTGAGAATCCAATCGTTAAAAGAAAGGACTATTTTAACTTCCAATCTTTGTTTTCAGTGTGGATTGAAGATAAACGGAGGGGAAGTTGCAGTGTTTGCCTCTCGTGCAGGCCCTGGTGTGTGCTGGCACCCATCCTGTTTTGTCTGTTTCACGTGTAATGAGCTGCTAGTCGACCTCATCTATTTTTATCAGGATGGAAAAATTCACTGTGGCAGGCATCACGCAGAACTGCTCAAACCCCGGTGCTCAGCATGTGACGAGGTAAAAAAATTCATGCCTTAACACTGGAAAAAAATAAGCTGATAGTAAGCCAGTATTCCACTGTTCCCATCTAAACAAAATAAAATGTCTCCTGGGTTTTATTCTGTGTGCTTTTAAGATAACACTGTATATTCATACAGTGGAGAATTGTGCAGCTAATCAAGAGAGGGCAGCAGGTGACTTTGTGCCTCCCCAAATATAATGCCTTCGGTGAGGGTGGGGAAGAAATAATATCACGATTTTATTATTTAAGTACAGAGGGGATGCCCCAATACACTGTACACATTTATAGACACACAAAAAAGTTGTAGAAAGACGCACACCAAGTTAACAGTGGGAATGTAGGAAAGAATGATGGTGTGAAAGGAAACTTCTTTTTCTAAAGCTTTTTATTTTAAAGTAACTTTAAATTTATAGTAAGTTGAAAAAATATTAGAGTTCTTACATATCCTTCTCCCAGTCTCCCCCCCCCGCCAACATTTTACATGTAACTGTCAAAAATAAGAATTAACATTGTTATAATATAATAGACTTTATTTACATTTCCTCAGTTCTTCTAATGTCCCTTTTCTATTCCAAGATTCAATCCAGGGTACCTCACTGTATCTCCTTAGAAACCAAAACAAATTAAAAGTTCTCAATCTGGAGGTGACCACGAGGTCAAATGAAGCCAGCATCTACACAAAAGCTATTCACACAACTCCAGCATCCCTGTGGCTATAACTGTGTGGACTCCACAGATATTTTAATAAGTTTTTTTTTCTATTAAAACACATAGACACCACTAAATTATTTCATTGCAAGTGTGTTCTTCATCAGATTATGCTACCCAAGTGTTATTGGTGAACAAAAGTAGGACAAATAAATGACTTTCCTTCAGACCTGTGGGCTGGTTGTGCTGTTGAGCCTGAGAAAGAAAAACTCTCCACCAACTGACTTTTTGCCTCCTCTGGAGGTCTTCTACCTCTAGGGAGAAGGCGACCAGGCAAGAAGTCATAAGATTGCAGCAGTGCCCCTCTCATACAGCCCCTAGTTGTCTGATTCAAAAGCCAGTATCAGTTGTCCAGAAAAGTTTTTTGGCCTTTGAAATAGTTCACATAGATTTTATTTCATCTTACGGTTTCATGCTTCCTTCTAAAGATAATTTTTGCTGATGAGTGCACAGAAGCTGAGGGTCGCCACTGGCACATGAAACACTTCTGCTGCCTTGAGTGTGAAACCGTCCTGGGAGGACAGCGGTACATCATGAAAGATGGCCGCCCTTTCTGCTGTGGCTGCTTTGAGTCTCTCTATGCCGAGTACTGTGAAACATGTGGAGAACATATTGGTAAGTCCACTGTACAGCCTGTCTCCCTGTCACATACCTACTGGTCACCTAGGATGATCCACAGTCTTTTTTTCACTTACTTTTGTGAAAATTGAGGTAAAATTTACATGCAGTGAAAAATACAAATCGTAAATGTTACTGTTGGTTGAGTACTGACAGATAGATATACAGTCAATTCTGGCTACTCACAGCCCCAAGTACTGAAAGTGAAATCTGAACCATTGCTCCTGAGAGAAATAAAGGGTTAGGTTTCCATGAGCCTCTGGTTTTTTCTTTCTTTTTTGGTGGTACTGGGAATCAAATTCAGGGCCTCACACATGTTAGGGAAGTCCTGTACCACTGAGCTACACTCTAGTCCTGGTTACAACATTTTCATCCATCCATCAATACATCATCTTGTTTCATGTGTGTTTGGAGTTAAGGCCATTTATTTATTTATTATTTATTCACTCATTCATTTATATTATTGCTCACAGCCAGCAGCACTGTCATTCATGATTAGGGGCTTATCTAATGCACACATTTTTCTCTACGAGGCATCTTGCACCTAGGAAGACAGCTTCTCAGCATTTTAAACAGAAAAGTAACAAAACAAACAACAAGTACCACAAAAATGCATCATAGCACTGAACAGACCATGAATAAGACACTTGATTATAATATGGGAACACATGAAAGTGTTTTATATGTATCAATTTTGGGATTTCAGGTAAATCTTGGTTGTCAAATTCACAAATATTAACTTTACAAGTAATAAGGATCAGTTGTACCCCCATAACCAACATCCTGGTCAAGACACAGAATATTTCCATCACCTGAGAGTTCCCTCTTGTCCAGTTTCTTTTCTCCATTTCTCCATTCCTTCATTTCAAGCAGTAAGCTAGAACTGTTTTCCTACCCTTTTTCAAAATAGGTGTTGACCATGCTCAGATGACCTACGATGGGCAGCACTGGCATGCCACAGAAGCGTGCTTTTCCTGTGCCCAGTGTAAAGCCTCTTTGTTGGGATGTCCCTTCCTTCCCAAACAAGGTCAGATTTATTGCTCAAAAACCTGTAGCCTGGGTGAAGACGTCCATGCTTCTGACTCTTCCGACTCTGCGTTCCAGTCAGCTCGATCAAGAGACTCCAGAAGAAGTGTCCGCATGGGCAAAAGCAGCCGGTCAGCAGATCAGTGCAGACAGTCCCTTCTCTTGTCCCCTGCTCTGAACTATAAGTTTCCAGGCCTTTCAGGCAATGCTGATGACACCCTTTCTAGGAAGCTGGATGATCTGAGTCTCTCCAGGCAAGGAGCAAATTTTGCCAATGAAGAATTCTGGAAAGGCAGAGTAGAGCAGGAAACCCCCGAAGACCCTGAAGAATGGGCTGAGCATGAAGACTATATGACACAGCTCCTCCTCAAGTTTGGTGATAAAAGCCTCTTTCAGCAGCAGCCCAGTGAGATGGATATTAGAGCCAGTGAGCATTGGATATCTGATAACATGGTTAAAAATAAGACCGAGTTAAAGCAAAATCACCAGAGCCTTGTAAGTAAAAAATACCAATCTGATATGTATTGGGCCCAGTCACAAGATGGACTGGGTGATTCGGCATATGGCAGCCACCCAGGCCCTGCAAGCAGCAGAAGGCTCCAGGAATTGGATCTGGACCACGGTGCTTCAGGATATAATCATGAGCAAACACAGTGGTATGAAGATTCCCTGGAGTGTTTATCAGACTTGAAACCAGAGCAAAGTGTCCGAGATTCTATGGATTCTTTGGCTTTGTCTAATATCACAGGTATGTAATCTAGGGATTATGGGCTATTTGAAAAGGGAGCCATTAAAAAGCTTATTCAGAAAATTGTAATTCAAAAAAAGAAAATTGCAGTTCAGCACCAGGAGGGGCCATATTATTTAAAACTGGACTAGGGGAAGGAAGGCATTTCATGTGAATGCCTCCCTAGAGCAAAGCAAACATGTGTCTCTATATGTGAATGCATCTGTATCAATACAGCCTTTTCAGATAGGTGTCAACCCCTATTTTAAGGGGGAGAAACTTGGTTTAATTGACAAGGGAGGCTGCAGCTGTATTGTGTCTCAAAGATTCTATTTTCATTTGTACTGTATAAATTTAAAAATATTAAAATTGACCTGTGCACTTTATAAGCTTATAACTTTTTCATTTTCCTGAATTGTCCTGCAGCAAGATAGCTTAAAAATATGAGCACTTTTTCTCATTACAAAATAGCACTTTAATGTTTTCCATGTATTCTTACTGTATCTTTAAAATGATCTTGAGCTGTACAAAGTAGATATGACATTTTACATAGCAGAAACACGAATTACTAGGAAGCTAAATACCTAACATTACACAGGTTCTGAAGGAAAGACTGGACCTAGAACCCAATGTGTTATGAATCTCATATTTGCAGTAAGTCTTTCGACACAAAAACATTGCCTTTATGTGATCAGGCTAATTGTATAGTCAAACTAATGACATCCCATCCTTTCAAAAAGGTTGTGTTACTGTAAGAGAACCAGGAAAGGGTTTTGTGGATGCCCACTGCCAGGAATGCCCTATGCAAAAGGAATGAGACACAGTTTCCCAACTGGTTCCTATGGACTTGTCACAACAAAGGGGAATGGAGGAAGCATGGGGAACAAGACTGTCTGCCAGGCCCCGTGCTAGGTGTTTAAACATTTAAAATCAAAACCAGACATATTCTGTGCAAGTTCAAGTGTTAGGATCCACGGCTGGAGGTGTAGCATGTAGCTCAGCACAGAATGTGCTTAGCAATATGCACAGCCCTAGATTCAATCCCCAACACCTGGAAAATAAAAATATTAGGGGTTGACATTCCCTGACAATAATGGGCAGTTACAGAGTTTCCAGCTGACAAGTCCACAATACTTCCTGTCATCACTTACAATCTGCTATATGTATTTAATTTTCCTGGCTACAATTATAACAAAAGACACCAGTCTCAGTTTTGAGAAAAATTTTAGTCTAATCTGGAAACAGCATATTTAATGAGTTGAAGGTGATGAAGGGTAGCTCAAGGTCTGGGTCGGGTTGGACAAAACTTTTTTCTGTAAAGAGCTTGATAAGTCCTTTTTAGGCCATACAGTTTCTATCATCTATGGTTGCTTCTCTGTAAACAAGTCAGTACTGCTGTGTTCCAAGAAAAACAGGCTCAAGTAGGCTGTTGAGCTGTGGTTTGCCAGCTACTAGTCTGAGAAGAGGAAGATGGTACATGATGCTGGCCATGTATTTATGAAGAAAGGGATTGACTGAAAGATGCTGAAATGAGGCCTTTGACTTGAATGGACTCAGAAGTTTCCACAGCTTAAATTAATCAATGAATGAAAAAGGCTTCTGTGAAGAGCCGTTAAATTTTTGCTGTTCATGCCATGTGCTAGAATAATCTTTGGCTCCAAGACATTGGGGCTTACAAGGGAGGATGTGGCTTTTGTGTCATTGGCAAAATTCATACTTCTTCTTAATTGGTGAATAAGGTGGTTTTCTCCCATGGGTATTAGTTAATATTGAAATAGGCAATTTTCTTTGAAATGTTTTCCTTTTGGTACCTTGTTTTTAACAAGTGTCAGAATGTAAGAATTTCTGAGAATCATGTCTTGTTTTGGCCTCTGTTGTAGGGGCTTCTGTGGATGGTGAAGGCAAGCCAAGGCCGTCCTTATATTCTCTACAAAACTTTGAGGAGATGGAGGCCGATGAGTGTGAGAAAATGAGCAATATGGGAACTCTGAACTCGTCCATGTTGCACAGGAGTGCCGAGTCCTTAAAAAGTCTAAGTTCAGAGTTGTGTCCTGAAAAAATCATGCCTGAAGAGAAACCAGTCCATCTGCCAGTGCTCAGAAGATCCAAGTCTCAGTCCAGACCACAGCAGGTGAAATTTTCGGATGATGTTATTGACAATGGAAGCTATGACAACATTGAAATCCGCCAGCCGCCAATGAGCGAAAGGACTCGGAGACGGGTCTACCATTTTGAAGAGAGGGGATCCAGGCCTCATCATCATCGCCGCAGGAGAAGTAGAAAGTCCCGCTCTGACAATGCCCTGAATCTCGTCACAGAAAGGAAATACTCCCCTAAGGACAGACTGCGGCTTTACACTCCCGATAATTACGAGAAATTTATTCAGAATAAAAGTGCCCGGGAGATCCAGGCGTACATCCAGAATGCTGATCTGTATGGACAGTATACCCACGCCACCTCAGATTACGCACTGCAGAACCCAGGCCTGAACAGGTTTCTGGGGCTGTATGGGGAGGACGATGACTCCTGGTGCTCCTCCTCCTCTTCCTCTTCTGACTCAGAAGAGGAAGGATATTTTCTCGGACAACCAATCCCTCAGCCCCGGCCACAGAGATTCGCTTACTATACAGATGACCTTTCTAGTCCAGCTTCGGCACTGCCCACCCCTCAGTTTAGTCAGAGGACAACTAAATCCAAGAAGAAAAAGGGACACAAGGGCAAAAACTGTATTATTTCTTAACTGAGTAGCTGTGGAGATCACTTGTCTAAAACTTAACCATTAACCATGACTTGTATCTTTTCTCTTGCATAGGGAAGTTATTAAAATAGTTTAAAGTGGCCCGTGTAAATGAGAACCCTACTGCTGTTTACAGTGTCAGATAACATTTGAAAGGTGTGAGTTCTCCACTTTACCTTCGTTGAATGGTGCCAGGTTCACATGGTACCTTGTGTCTATGTCAGGCACAAAGTTATACTTTCATAGAGCTACTTTGGTCTCCAATCCACAAGAAAATACTCAAGAAACTGTCACAAGGTGATTGGACAGAGGGTGTCCATGTTAGAAGATGGAGAACTCCAGCCACCTTTGTAAACCAATAGTGTTTGTCATTATGTAAGTCAGGTTGGCTCAGGTCCTGACTGGTCTGTCTTGTGAGGCATGCATGTCGTCACAATGACCTAGCTAACACTGTGCATTCTATTGTGCAAGGCCACCTTGTCCCTTTCAGTCCCCAATAGCCAGGTAAACATTGTATTAGTTCCAGCTACAGATTAAAACAAAACTGCTATTTATAATGTAGTATTTCATAGACATAAGTGTATTCCTAATTTAACGGTGCAAATATTAATGTATATACTGTACAGTTCAGATTTTAAAGCTGATATTTTTATATCCCTGAATCGCAAGACGTTTGTTACACTGCAGTGCTAGATTCGTTAGGGAATCAGAAACAGCATTAGTGGATGAAACCGTTGCTTGTATTTTAGTCAGGGTTTATAAGTTTAGAAGGTCAAATTTATATTGCCTAGTGAAGGAAAGTTCTTTTGCTTTTTGATTTTTCAATATTAAAAAAGGCTCTGTATGCATGGTGGGGCTGTGTAAATACTCTTTAAAAAACTATGGCCCTATTAATCTTTTGAGTGTTATTTATGGGTCAAGCAATGTAAACTGTATAAATGTAAAAACAAACAAAAACTCCACACACATACCCCTGGAATATATGGTAAAAACAAGCAGAAGCTGTCTGCGTAATGTTTTTTTCCCTGGGGTGTGGGGTGGGTGCCTCTCCTGCTCTCAGCAAGGTGCTGATTATCATGGAAGAGTCTGAAATACAAAGATAGCTGTGGCTGATCAGCTGTGTGATCTTTTTGTGGCTGAGCTCACTATAGATTTATTATTTGAAGACAGGTTATTCCTTTTTATCCTTCCCTTTCAGCTAATTTGTTGGCCTTTAAAAAGCCATTTTGAAAACTGGGTCTTCTAGTTACACTTTGTTAAAATCTTTAAATCAGAGGATGCCATGCCACTGAGTACTTCAAGTTCATGAGGTTCTAGCTCAAGGGAAAATTATATTGGATTTGAACTAATAAGCAGATATTTTAATATGTGCCATTCTTGCATATGTCAGTCCTGATGAAAGGTCCCGGTGACATCCAGGCCCTTTTGGGGAGGTATTTAATAAATGCTTAATAAACAACAAACTACCTTTCTGAATACAAATCTTTGTCAGCATACCCAAGTAGCTTCCACTTTGCTCTGGGGTCCTTCTACCATTAACAGACCTTCCTTTGACTCCTGCACTCCCACTAGCAGGTGACAAACAGACCTGAGGTACAGAGGCACATCTTTCCACATTCATCAGAGGAGAAACCATGAAGAGGGCAGACAAGAACCCAACAGGTAGATCACTGGGCAGGCAACCTCCCTGTGCCCATCCCTGGGTAAGGCAAGACTTTGAATCTGGGCTGGAAACATTTCCTTCAGACAAGCTCTTAACAGGAAGAGAGTCCTGTACTCAGTAACTACAACATCATTTTCTGGGTCCACTGCAGGTACACTGTAAAAAAAAAAAAAAACTCTCAGACAGGATAAAAGAAAAACAGTGGATCCTCTCCTTTCTACCTCATATCCCCAGAAATAACCACTATTCGGTTCTAGTGCATTCTTCAGTTGTCGAAAGTGCACTGAAATAAGGGAGTCTCTTAAAAATGGCAGTTGTGAGCTAGAGGTACGGCTCAAGTGGTACAGCACCTGCCTCTCAAACACAAAGCACTGAATTCAAATACCAATACAAAAACAGAAAGAAAAAAAAAAAAATGAGGTGTGCTGAGCACTGGTGGCTCACCCCTGTAATCCTACCTACTTGGGAGGCTAACATCGGGAGAATCATGGTTCAAGGTCAGCCTCGGCAAATAGTTCACAAGACCCTATCTCCAAAATAACCAGAGCAAAACGGACAGGAGGTTTGATCCAAGCAGTAGAGCACCTGCTTTGTAAGTGCAAAGCCCTGAATTCCAAATTGCAGTCCCACCAAAAAATATTTTAAGAGGCAGTTGAGGCTGGGGGAGTAACTCCATGGTACAGCACAGCTGTGACGTACTTTGTTTCACTTTATACACAGATGTTCCACATAGTGCATACAGTTCTACCTCATTCTTCCAACAACTGTGTAATATTCTTCTTTTGGATATACCATTATTGAAACAGTCCCTTGGTGATGGACTTGAATTTCCTCATATATGCTGAACCCTACTGTGCACATGGGCGTAGCATTGGCTATCAGCATATAACTGGGACAAAGGTCATATGTATTTGGGACACTGATGGATACTATCAATTTTCCTTCAAATGAAGTTCTGATTGACCTAATGTATGAGAGCACTTATCCTATACAACCTCACATGATATATTAACAGAGGCTGGGTTTGGAGAGATTTGTAGGATCTATGTGGCAGCAGGCATTCTTTTAGAAAGGGCTGCTGGAAATGTTGCATGGAGCAATGACACTTAGCATAGAGAAATGCAGGTGTGAGCTGAAGGCACTGCCCTCTGGTTCTCAAGTACATTCCCATAAGATTGGCTGCTTTTGCTAATACATCGGGAAATAAGCACTCTAGTCATCTTTTTTTTCATTTTCTTACACAATTATATAGGTTTAAGCAAATACAAAAATATTTATTCGTAATGATAATGTAATCTTCATGCTTTTAAACCCTTAGTGGGGCCTGCCACAGTGGCTTATTCCTGTAATCCCAGCTACTCAGGAAGCAGAGATTAAGAGAATTGGAGTTGAAGGTCAGCCTGAGCTAAAAGTTAGCAAGACCCCATTTCAACGAACAAGCTGGGTGGGGTGGTGTATGTAAACCTGTAATCCCAGCTTCTTGAGACGCAGAAGTAGCAGGATCTTGGTATGAGTTTAGCCCCAGGCAAAAAAGCATGAGACCCTATCTGAAAAGTAATTAAAATATCAAAAAAGGGCCGGAGGTCTGGTTCAAGTGGTGGAGCACATGCCTAGTAAGTGCAAGGCCCTACATTCAAACCTTAGTACCATGGAAATAAATAAGTAAATAAATAAACCTTTTAGTAGCAATAACAGAAGACTAGCTACAAAGGGAGAAGGGAACAACTGTCTTGCAGTTCTAAAAAGTTGTAATTGATAAAAGGTGGGAACAGATCTAGCTAGCAAGAGTGTAAAGTGTCACTGAATCCCAAGATTTGGTTCAAGATAAGTATCAAATGTTACGGCACAGCCTGTAATCACAGAGGGGTGAGGCAGCTGTAAGGGAGGGTGCGTGTCCCTCACTTCTGAGCAGCCCCTGCAGGGCAGCTAGCAGTCAATAGTGACTCCTTTTGGTCGTGAAGAGAACATGGTTCATCTGCATGTGCATTTGCTGTTCAGTCCTCTCATGTTAGAGATAAAGCATGGGCCTTCAAAGGACAGTGACACTAGAAGAGTTCCCACAACGGCTCCATGTGGACTCGAGGATGGCCACAGAAAGAACCAGGGTTGCTGGACCTTCAGCTTTTTCAAGAGAAGCCAGGAACCTGAACTTACATATTTCCTAGCTTTGAAATGTTAGCAACTAATTCGAACATTAAATATTGTTAACAAAATAAGCCTGTCACCAGCCAGTCCCCAACCCTTGTGTCATAAAGTCATAAGGTCCCCCTGTCCTTTAGAACTGCCTAGGGGAGGCACAACTAATCACTGTTTATAAAAAAGGAAAAAAAAATACATGTGACCTTTTTGGCACAGACAAGAAGAAAAACTATTGGAATCTTAAAAAAAAAAAATTCTAAGAACTTCTTTATCAATTCACTGCTAGATACACAATTATGATAAAAATCCTTGTGTGAAAACAGCTAAGTGCTCACCTTCTGTAAACCATTCACTGGGCCAATGAAAGACAAGCTCCTGTACAGTTCCCTGGGCTTTCTGTAAATTCTCAGAACACATTATGGCTTCCAGACAAATGGACCACAGAGAAATGAGCAGAATGACTGAATATGCCCCTTTCACCTCACACTTTGCAAAGGTCATAGAATTACAAACTTTACTGGAGGAATTAAGGGTGGCTTTCAAAATGGTAGGCATATAGGTGGCATTGGTCACAGGATTAGAGGCAATTTATTCTATTTGAACAAATTCACCTAGTTGGTCAAGTGTTTGCACTATGGGGACCAATCTTAAGCCACAACTTTTCTTTACATAAAGGAAAATTTCCCATCTCTATTATTCTGTGTGTATAAGGTGCTGTTAGGCTAACTTTAGAAGTAACTTGTAACTTGTAGGTTACAAGTTACTTGTTACTGATATAAACAGTACCATTAAGAATACAAAACTAGCTGCAGGAATGGCTCAAGTTGTAGAGCACCTACCTAGCAAGTGTGAGACCCTAAGTTCAAACCCCAGTAGCACCAAAAAAAAAAAAAAAAAAGAAAAGAAAAAGAAACTAAGCTAGGTATAGTGGAACACACCTATAATCTCAGCTCCTTGGGAGGCAGGTAGAACTGTGATTTAAGGCCAGTCTGGGCAAAAGTGGGAGATCCTATCTGAAAAACAGTAAAAACAAAAGGACTGGGGGTGGAGGCACTCAAGTGGTAGAGTACTGGTCTAGTGCAAAGCCCTAAGTTCAGTTCCCTGTACCACCAGCCAAAAAAAAACCTGGTTATCTCAGTGATAGTTATAATGAGGCAACTGACATTTGAAAAGACAACTGCTAATCTAATATAAATCCATTCATCACAAAACTAGTCTTGCAGAGTGATGCAAAATATACTAGACTCCAGGATTTGGGAGGTCTGGATTAGGACCCCTCCCCCCACCCGCCCCGGCCATTAGCTCAAGCAGGTTAGGGCTCTGAGGGCTTCCACTTCTGTACATGAGAACACTGGACCATCTCAAAGATCTCCTGCCAGGCTACCATGAGCACTCTGAGGAGACAGTTCAAGTCTCCCCAGTCAGCATGGTGTCTCCCCTTTCCTGATTCTTCATATACCATTAACACATTTGTCTGGTGAGGATTCCTGAAAGGATGACACCCTCCCTTCATCTCCCCACTGAGACCTTGCCTTAAGGAATTGAGAACTTTAAAGAGGGTTTTGTTTTGTCTCACTATGTAGCCCAGGCTGGCCTCAAAACTCAGGATCCTCCTGTGCTGAGATTATAAATGAGTACCACCATGCCTGGCATATCTTTTTTCTGAGTGGGTAAGAAGTTAAACTAGATAAGAAAATGGGAGTTTGGGGATAGCACATATGCTTCAATCAGGCCTTACCCCAGGAAGCAGTTTGGAAACTGCACAGACTATGGAGAGGGCAAGACTTTCCTCTATGTTATTTCTTCCCAGTTACCAGGAGAAAAAGTAAGAATTTTTCCTACATTTCAGAGGATAGCTATTAGCAGCAGCCTTACCCTTGCATCTCTGAACATGTAAACCAAGCTGAGCCTAGGGAATCATGAGCTTACTGAATCATGGCTTCTAGAATACAAGAGTTTAATTGCTAAACTCGCCCCACTGAAATGGCTCTTCTGAAACAACATGAGCCTGGGTGCAGTAGCCAGAGACTCAAGGACGCTGTGTGCACTGAACACACAGTGGCTGCAGAAGCTACAACCTGCCTGCCTGCCAGCTGCCTCTTAAGAGCCTCAAAGGTATTTTCTAAAGTAGCTTCCAAAGCAGAAGTCATAGGGAACCAATGTGGAAGTTAGGAAGCGAGGATAAAGCGAAAAACAGAAAAATGTACCAAACTAGGGTTTCGATTTCTTCAAATTTTTTAAAAAATTTGAAATTTTGTACATAAAACCCATCAAAACCACATTACATATATTAACCACACAGACACCAAACAACTAGTCTATAACGGAGTCAACATTTGAACCCAGTTCTGAATGGCTGCCACACTTCTTCAATGAACATTGATCTTGGACTGGAAAGCTGGGGGGTAAAACCCTGGCCCTGCCACTTGCGAGTTGTAGAACCTTGGGCACGATATAATCTCTTGTTCTTGACCCTAAATGTGGGAATAAAATTCGTACTGGTCATGGGTATGAGCCTCATCACTGGACATAGGAAGTCCACATTTGTAAGGAATTCAATGTGAACGAACCACAAAATACCACAATGATAGCTCCAACCTTGTTTAGATAGTAAAATAAGAGAAAAATACGGTGCTTCTCAAAATTCTATAAAACATTCAGTATATTAAACCTGAAATACATTTTGAGCATCATCCAGTATGGGGTACTAAATTCCACTCTACAGAAGTAGTACAGAAATAGGCAGCTGCTATGTAAATATGCACTAGGCTGTAAGAATATTATTTGTTATTCAAACACAGCTTCAAATCTCACTCAATGCACTGGCTAATCTCTTATACAGTCCCCGTCACCCAAGATCGATTAGTCCAATGGCAAGAGAGGTGCAGCCTGCCCGGGGCCAAAGTCAGTGAAGCTAGCCTCTGACTGTCATTTGACATAAATGAGCAATGATTTTGAGCAAAAAGTGAGCTGCTGTACCAACAACAACAAAAACCCCAAATAATGTGGCTTAAAGAATGGAGACATGTATTCAGCTACCACGTAACAATTCGGTATTCCAGGTAGTCATGCAGATACCCAAGTTCCTTCCATGTTGAGGCTCTGCAAAAAACTCAGGACTGCATCACTATTGTTACTACACATGGAAAGAGAGAGAAGAGCATGCCTCAGTCTACAGCATACTTCCTCTCAGATTCCATAGCAGAGAAGTTAGTTCACATACCTACAAGGAGGGCATAGCAAATACAGTCCTAGTTAGGTAGTTATGCGATTCGGTGTCAAGTCTATTACCATGAAAAATGGCAGAAGAGATGCTGGTAACTACCTCAGTTATGTGTCCACTTCCACTCCCCAGTCTCTATTTTTCTTGTTCAGTAAATTGGATTAACATTAGCGCTCTTAATAGAGATAGCAGAAAGGACATGAAAATCAAGTACCATGCATAATCCACCAACGTTAGTTTGGCAAAACAGAATGTGGTCATTACTGTGAGGAGCTCCCAGTGCCAGCCTAAGCAGTTATAGCTATAAAGCCAGTTGGGTGGCTGGCTGTCCACAGCTCTGAATAGCTGCCTACCATGAATTCTCTAGACATGATCAGATCATCATCCCCCAAAGTTGTAGCCAAAGAACTGTCAGAGCCTACCTTGGAGCTTAGGATCTGTTAGAGCAAAGTCTAGAGTGAAGCTAAAATCAGTACGGATTTTGGCAGAGTGTAGAGTCCTCCCTTAAGGCCATCTGGACTTCCTTTCCTTCGAGAGGTTCAGGATCTGTAAATTAGCTCAGGGCTACAACATGACTGAGGGCAGGAGAAATAAACATTTTTGGTAATAGTACTAGACTCATCATGTTTTCAAAAAGGGTGATACAATAATCATTTAACATCCTTCCTGTTCGGCTCTCAGCCTACCTTACCCACTTGTCCATAGTTGGGAGTCCTGCAAGAGACAGATTCACAAAAGGAGATAAAGCAAGTTTATCAATGCATATAGTGCATATCACATAGGAGAAAAGAAACTCTTCAGCAGTGGCTGAGGAATGTGCCTTCAACAATAAATATATAGAGAAGTGACAGGTGGAAAAGCAGTCTCAGGCTTCAGAGGTGGGAAAATGGTGAGAAGACAAACTTATAAGAAAGTCTGCTCCAGAGAGCAATCTCTGATCTGAGAAGCTTTGCAAACAATTTCTTTAGGCAAGAAAGTCAGAGCACGGAGAGAAGGTCCAGCTTAGAAGACTTTTTTCTTTGTGAATCTTTGTCCTGTTTTTAGGCAAACTGAGAAAAGGCAGAGTTCCCCTGTATTTTGATTGTCTTCACCTCAAGAATCCTTTATTATTTTTGGAGAGAATTATTTTGGTTTCCTTTACCACCTTCATCCTCTGTCACCTTTCAACTAACTAGTCATTGTGACAGATAATTTTATTTTCTTGGCAATACTGGGATTTGAACTCAGGGACTTGAACTTGCTAAGCAGGTGCTCTACCACTTGAGCCATGCCCCCAGCCATTTTTTGCTTTAGTTCTTTTTTCAGGTAAGGTCTTGCATTTTTGCCCAGGCTGGCTCAAGTGGCAGGACCATGATCGTCCTACCCATGCTTCTCATATTGCTGGGATCAAATGCACACACCACCGTGCCCAGATTATTGACTCTGATAGGAAACTTTTTGCCTGGGCTTGCCTCAAACCACACTCAGTCAACCTCAAGGTAGCTGGAATTACAAACAAGAGCCACTGCACCCCATCCCCATTGATGGTTCACCTTTGTCAATTTGACTGGATTGAGAAGCTCCTAGACTACTACAGCACACTTCCAGATGTGTCTGTGAGGGCATCTCACAGAAAGGATTAAGACCCAACCTAAATGTGGGCAGCAATCAGCCTGGGCTCCAGATGAACTAAAAGGGGAGTAAAGAGGGAACCCATGAAGGAGGCATCCTCTCTGCTTCTTGGCCACCATGAAGTGAGCAACTTTGCTATCCCATTGATGTTCTGCCTCACCACAGGCCCAGAAACAATGGAGCCAAGTGACCACAGACTGAAACCATGAGTCAAAATAAATCCCTACTGGTTTAAGTTGTTTTTTCGCAGGTATTTCTCACAGCAATGGAAAGTGACTAACAGGCACATGGGCCTACAACTTTCCCTATACAATTCCCTCCTTTTGATTCTACTACTTCTTCTCTGACTGAACAAACCCAATTCCTCCAAGATCCAGGAGTCAAGTGTCACTGCTTTGTGAACCCAACTTAAGTTGATAAATATGAGTACCTATAATATTCCCAACTATGCTAAGAACTGGGGTCACAAAGACAGCAAGGTTCCCACCCAACAGGAGTTACTACATAGGTGTAGAATTTTAATCCTACAATTCCTTGAAATTTAGATTCCTAAGTAAATAATTATTGCATTTATAGTGTAAGGCATCTTTTCTTAACTGCTTCCGAGACATCACAACTCCTTAAATCACCAAAGTTAATAGTGTCTCAATTCCTAACCTCCTCTACTTGGCTGAATAGTGAACTATTTGAATAGTAAAAGAAGTAATATGGTAGAGAGTAATAAAGTTTACATTTTAGTAAAACACTTGAAGTCTGGTAAAATACGAGAAAAGGCAATCTAATTATTTAATCTTGGTTGCTTTATTTTGCATTTTAAAAATTCACAAAAAGCTTTCCCTCTGTTGATCATGAAGGCTTTATGGCAAGACAAAGGAAATTTTATCACATCAACTGGGTACCCTCAAAAACAATGGATAATTTATAAACAAATCTCCTTAATCAAGGACATCTTGAAAAATACATACTTTAGTACACACATCTGAATTTATCTATTCTAAAATTAGAGTTTAAAACAAATTTAAGAAAACAAAAACAAACAGATTTTAACACTGACAAGTCTAGCAGAATAATGCTGATGGCAAGCTATAAACAGCTTTAAATGTTGAATGTAATTTGAGGAAAGGGAAGAGAAACTATTCCTTAAACCCACATTTAAACGTATCTGTTAGTAAAACTTCTTTTTTTAAAAGAAATTCAACAAAGTGAACTCTTTTACCTCTGACAGTCTCTCAGATTTGATTTTTAAACTTGTAACATATTGATGAAAAGAACCAAATCCTGGGACAAGAATATTTAAAGAAAAGAAAAACATTGAGAGGACAAAAGAAAAAATATCATCAGTACCTTCTTGGTCTTTCTAAAAGAGTAACAAATACAACATTGCTTATAGTAAGGAAGGCTATCAGATAATATATGGGATTTCATTCGGCTCATGTTTTACAAAAGTTAGATAAGTACAACATCTCATTGGCAAAAAGAAAAACTGAAGATGATTTCACTTAGGAATCAAAAATAAATGTTGCCCTCAATTAGCTTTTAAATTTGTGGAATGGCATAATATGTATTTCAAGGCAGCCATTATAGAATCCATTCAAAATTATGATTATAATTATTTATTTTTAGCTCGTACTGGGGTTTTAACTGGGCCTTGCACTTGTGAGGCAGGTGCTCTACCCCTTGATCCACACCCCCAACCCTTCATTGAAATAACTAATACCATCTCCACTTTTAATATAATCTTTACGTGTTCTTTAGAATCAACAGAGGTCATAAAAACAACACCAGAATTGAAGTGAGAATAGAGTGGAAATGGAAAAAGGATGAGAGGACAATAAAACTGGGTAGTAACAACAAACATGATTTTAAGGTTTCCGGACTAATGCCACAAAATTATATATTTTGGCTCAATGCCATTGGGCTGCCGCAAGTCAGTAGAAAATAGTGGAATATCCTAATGGTCCCAGTTAGACTCCACTAACCTATGATTTGGATGGCTCACTCATGAAGGACTGTTATACAGACTGCTTGGAAAGGGGCAAGCTGAGCAGGGTTTACTGCCTATTCTTTGCTTCTTTTGAGGATAATTGTGAAGGGCTAAGAACTTCTAAAAGTGAGCAGAGCAAAGCACTCAGATGACAGAGATTTAAAAAGAGTAACCTGTGAGGATCTAATCATGAGCATGCTGTCAAGCACTTTTTCTGAGAGCGTATGGGTCCATGAAAAAGAAAAAAAAAAGCTCCAGTACTTCTATATATTCTAAATGTTTCCTCGTCTCTTGATCAGAAGGGTTTTTAAGAAATCTCAACTTTAAAATACTCTTCACCTTCCATCTCGAATTGTCTCTTCTTTTACCTTATAGAAGACTACACATCAGTGAAAGTAGTCAACAATTTCAGGAGCATTTTAATAGAAGAGATACATCGAGTTCATTTATTTGGGGTAAAAATTCTAAGGTGTCCTTTAGAGATTTTAAGTGCTCTATTTTATCACTGAATGAGAATTTTTTCTCAAAGCAAATATGCTGTAGGATACCAAAGTACTTGTTTATTAGGACAGTATACTTAAAAGCCTAAGGAAAAGTAAGCGACAAGTCAATAAAAATCACAACTCAAAACTCTAACATTTTCCCATGGTACCATTCACTACGAAATGCAAAAAGACTATTAATGTTTAAGTGGAATGATCTCTAACTATAAATCACAATCCTGTGACCACACACTGTGGAAGACTGTAGACCATGAGTAAGTACAGAAAGCTGCTCTCCAGAAAGCTTTTTCAAAGCTTAACAAATTAATTGACCATCATTTTTTTGGAGGGGTGGGAAGGGAGGAAGAAAGACATGGATTAGGAGGTTCTACATGTAGAAAAAACTTTTAGAATATTTTAAATGACTACTTTAGATGTTTATTTGATATTGGAAATGTGGTCAACTATCATAAAGTGTTTCTCTTCATTAGGAAAATTCCATATATTAAAGATTTACACAATTCAGGGAGAAAAAAAAATCTAGAGCCTTTAAAAAAAAAAAAAACATTAATTCTTCTAAAAAGGCTCTCCAAAATCTTGAGTAGAATTATCATACTCTGCAATGAAATGCTTGAGTTCTTCCACACACCGCTCACCTATTTCATGCAAATTCTGCCTCAGTGCAAACTGAATAGACTTTTCTAAGGAAGGATCTTTTTCAATCAGCATTTTCACCACCATTCCAAAAGTTTCACAGTCTTGTCGGTAAACCTAGAACAGCAAAACACACTCTTGTTAGAGGAGAAGTAAAAGCAATTAACCAAACATTTAGCTGACTGAGTTGGCTGAATTAGGATGTTGAAGTTGAAAAGGGAGACGCAATAATACAGCCAAATCTCTCCAATACTTGCATGGTCAGTACTGCTAAGAGCCATTCAAGGCTCTTTCTAAGATACTTACTGACCACTTGAGTGAGCACAAGAACACTGATATATACACCACAGAATATAGAACATTGGCATGACATTTGAGAATAAGGCAGTATACCTATAGGACATCCAACTAGATGGGAAAAGTTAAGAACAAAAGCTAAAGAAGAAAAAAAAAAATCTGAGCCTCTAGTTTAGGTTCTGTTTGAATCACAACCAGATGACAAATTCAAAATTGTTTACTATACAACAAATAGCTATAAGAACACTGAAGCATCTATTTGAGAGAGAACTTTACAAGTTATGAATATTTAGTTATAAAGATTAAGATGAAAACAACACATTATACATACATCATGCACAGATACGGATATGCATATATGTGTAGATATAAACAAATACATGCGTATGTGTATACATGGATTTCTACTTCAAAGTGTCTATTTTAGTAATTTGCCTCAAAATATATATTTATCAGTGGCAATTAGATATTTCCTGTCCAGAAATTGCTGTTTCCTCCACACTAAATGCCATTTCCTTAATTTGTGGTAACAAAATATATTTTAGATTTTGTTTTCCCCTCCTCAGTACTGAGGTTTGAACTACATACCCTAGTCCTTGTGTTTTAGATTTCTTTACTACTTTTTGTACTCAATAGCTCAAGTATTTAAGGAAAATAATGCTAAATCTGTTATAGAAATTATATGAATTAAAAACTATCTCATTTAAACCTATTACATTAATTTTATTTTTTTGATATAACAATAACAAACTCAACATAGTTTATTCTCCAAAAAATTACTTTTCTCCTTCTGAAACACTTTAGAAATCAGTGAGTGGAGATATTGCTGGAATTGTGATAACTTCTACTTCTCAAATGGTCGCTACTAGTTGTGATGGCTTCTAGCAGCTTAAAATGTCTACAGTATTTGTTCTGATAGCTCAAAAAGAGCTATTTAAAGAAGACTCTTTAATTTTGAATTTAGGTTGCTAAGTTTTATTAAAAATCATTTCTGTCCTTTTTTTTTTTTTTAATGGAACCAGGTTTTTAACTCAGGGCTTCATATTTGCAAAGCAGGTGCTCTACTGCTTGAACCACACCTCCAGTCCTTTTTGCTCTGGTTATCTTGGAGATGGGGACTCACCAACCATTTGCCTGAGCTGACTTCAAACCACTATCCTCCCCATCTCAGTCTCCCAGGTTTTAGGATTATAGGCATAAGCCATCACTTCCTGGCATTTCTGTGCTCTTAAAAACAATTCACAAGCCCAAGGAAATTTAAAGGGTAAGTTCTTCAAAGGATACAGAAATTAAAATATAAGAACTTTAGCTGCCTTCTCAGCAATAATATAGAAATACAAACACATACACATTTTCAAATGTGATGAAATTTACTCACCATAGTGATTAACTTTAATTCAGCTGTTTAAACTAACCATTATTCCAGTTTATCCTGAGGTTTACATGACCCAGAACTGATATTATTCTGACAAGCCAACTTAGAAAACAGAACACCATTCACTTGATATTACGTACGATGTCAAGCCAATCAAGCACATTATGGCTGTTCAACAAACACACTTTACCCAAGTCAAGTCAATGAAGTCCCTATAGGGAAAATAACAGTCATGATATTTCAGTCTAGTGGAGGTAAATTCCTTACCAAACCAATCAGCCCACATAATAACAGCATTCTAACACCAACCACAGGCCTCAGCAGACCACTTTGTGGGTGGCCTAAATTTTACAGGCTTTAAAAAAAATAAAAAAAACAGATGTACTAGATGAGGATAATGTTACACTGTGAACTAACCTGGAAATTCTTTAATGTAAATGTGCTTTTTACTTAGACTATAATTCTTCATTTAGCATATTTTTTAGAACACAAATAAGCTAAAGATTTGTATTATGAAAAATTTTTCATACACTGATTTACACTATTAACTATTACTATCTGTAGTGACAAACTATAACAATAATTAAGGATTTCATTAGATATCTTTTTTAAATTGTAAGTCCTTTCTAAATTATTTACCAGAAGTAGACAAATTTTTGTACACTGGCTGACAAGAAAAACCAAAACTGTTAAAAGCAATATAATTCTCTACCACACACAGGGAAGTTTTTCTAAAAAGAGTGCTCAAAATGCCCTGGTTGGAGATTAGACAGGAAATAATTAGTTTTTGTTAAAGGAAGACCTCACCCTACAACATTTTATAAATACAACTGAAAACTGTCAGAAACCTATTTCCGAAATCTGTTCCACAGTAAACTGGATCCCAAAACAGGAAGGGTGTAGTTATCTGTAAGAGAGTTTGTTTGCTTATGGTCCCTAGCTGGAAATGTATTAATAATCTTCAGATTTGAAGGCCACACAGGAAGATTTTTTTTGTATGTGTGTCGTGCTTAGACCTAGTCAAAATGGGAAACAGGTTAAAGTATATGTGGGGTCCACGGATACACTGGATAGATGCTTAGCTAAATTGTCAATATAATGAAAACACATCCAGTATGGTTTCACACACTCCTTTATTATGGTAGCCAGTATTAAATAGTTAAATTTTCACAAAGTACTTCTAGGAATAAAGGAATATGACCAAATTAACTATCAAGGCTTTCTACTATTAATTATGCTTTAAGATGTCAGTTTGTAACTAGCAAAACAAACTAAAGGGCATATTTGCTTTATAGGGGCGGGGGTGTACCTTGGCAGTAGAGTGCTTACCTAGCATGTACAAGGACCTGGACTCCATTCACAGCAACACAAAGAGAAAAAAAATTAAAATTTCTTACAAGGATATAAAATTCTAGAATACATCAGTTTTACCCCTGACTTCTGCTTCCATAGAGATCAAAATTAAGGCAAGAACTCATTTGATTCAAATGTAAATGTCCTATTTTAGGTCACATCCTAGTAAAAGGAAAACAGACAAGCAAATGAGACATTTAGATATACAAAGTAGTAGGAGAGGCAGAAAAAATAGGAAAAACTGGTTCCAACAGCAGGCTTATTGAGTTTGAATCTTGAATACGGTGAAGGCCAAATAATGTCTTCTAACCCCGGCCCCAAGATATCCACACCATAATCCCTGTAACCTGTGAATGTTACGTCCCATGATTAAAGACCTTGAAGATGTGATGTGTGTTAAGGGTCTGGAGGTGGAGAGAGTATACTGTATTATCTGGGGGGAGGAGTCCAATGTTCTTAAGAGAGTAATGTGAGAGGATCAGAAAAAGAGAGGCAAATGTGGGCTGCAAAAGCAGTACTTAAAGAATTAAATGTACATATTAGGAGACAAAATCAATCACTTTAGGCTAAGAAACTAGAAAAAGAACAAATAAAATTCAAAGCAGGAAATAACACAGAACAACCAATGCAACCAAAAGCTGGTTCTTCAAAAAGAATAATAAAATTAATAAACTTCTAACTAGGCTAACAAAGAAAAAAGGAGAGAAGACACAAATTAGTACTGATCTATGGACAGTGAAATCAAATTGAACCACTCCTAGGCATGTGCCCAAAGGAATGTAAATCAAGTTACAATAAAGACACCTGCACACCCATGTTTACTGCAGCATTATTCACAATAGCCAAGCTATGAAAACAGCCAAGATGCCCTGTAACTGATAAATGGATTAAGAAAATGTGGTATTTATATATAATGGAATTTTATTTATTCAGCCATAAAGAATAATAAATTTTTGTCATTCACAAGTAAATGGATGCAACTGGCGAACATCATCTTAAGTGAAGTTAGCCAGGTTCAGAAAGCCAAAGGCTGGATGTTCTCTCTCATATGTGGAAGATGGACCCAAAAACAAATGCAAGCATTATATATATATATATATATATATATATAGAGAGAGAGAGAGAGAGAGAGAGAGAGAGAGAGAGAACATGTTTCCATTTCCAAAACTGGAACTGTTAGATGAGACTAATGGAGGAGGAAGAGGATGACAGAAAGTAATAGTAATGAAATATATCAAATCTGTATAGGAACATCGCATACCGAAACACACTGAAAACAGGGTGAGAGAGAAAGCATAGTATATCTACAGGAAAAACACCAAGACAAAATTCCAACTCAACAGTCACCTAAACAATGAAGGGCAGGAATGTGAAATAGGTCATTTTAAGGGGAGGGCACTAGTGGGAAGAGGTGGGGTAAATGAAGAAAGTAAGGAGGGTGAATACGGAACATTGAAATCTGTGGAAATCACCATAAGGGAAATGCAGTAGGAGGGAGAATAATGGACAGAATGCAGCAATTTGGGGTATAATACATGTATATATGGAAATGTTACAGCCAAACCCCTATACAACAATGTTCTTTTTTAACAAATGGGGTGGGTACCAGCTGGAGACCATAAGGAAAGAGTGAAAGAGGGCAAATAACGTAGAAGTATTTTGTATTCGTGTATGAAAACAGAGCAATGAAACCTGTTAAAACTGTTCTAAGAAGGGGGAATAAAGGAGAACATGGAGGGGGTAAACCTAAGATGCATTGTAAGCACATATGTAAATACTACAATGTAGCCCTCTGTACAACTATAACATGTTAATAATAAAAGAAAAGAAAAAATAGGAAGGAAATTCTATGCTCATTAGTTAGGTGAAATGGACTGCTTCCCTGAAAGACATAGTTTGCCACAATCTCATAAAAGGAAAAACAGGTAACCTAAATAGGCCTAAATCTATTTTAAAAACTGAATAGAAAAACAAAGCACCAAACCCAGATGGTTTTACTGGCATATTCTATCAAACATTTAAGAAAGAAATGATAACAAATTCTCTAAGACTTCTTCTAGAAAAACAGAAGCAGTGGGTTTCCTAATTCAGA